TGCAGTCACGAAAGCTTCAAATTAAGAATGATGATCATTACTGCATGTTTTTGATGAAATCGTCTTAAATTATGATTGATTGGATGGCGATTCATTGATTTACCCATGATGGTGATGGCGGTGAGCGTGATCAAACGTTGGCGGCATCACTCGCGTATCGGTTTATAAGACGCACCCCACCTCCTCCCCCCCCCCCCCCCCAATGTTTGATGAAAAATATGGAGTGGAAATAAGTGCGCCTTATTGTCTGCAGAATACGGTTACAGATTGACATTACTTAGCAGGACGCGTGTGGATGACACCAAAATTCCCTCCCTCCCACTTCCCATCCCCCAGAGCCACCGACCAACGCACGTCACGCTCCACTGCTACCGTATCGGCCTCTCCACACCGAGGTTTTGGTTAACGATTGATGGGGCCTTTGATTGACCTTGCCAAGGGAACTGGGATCCTGACCCTCCCAGGCCGCCCACCCCCCACCGCCCACTCTCAAGCCCCCCCCCCTCCCCTCCACCAAGGGCAGCGTTGGAATTCAACCCCGCAGTCGGCTCCAGTATTCCTTTGAATAATTATGGGAAGGATTTATACGGGGAAGTGTCATAAACGACTCGGCGAGGCTTTGCTGGGTAAATTAGAAACACTTGCATTGAGATAGTCATTTAAATTGTCACGATTATGATTCGAACTTAAGTGGATGTATTCATTACGTGTGTGCGCGTGCATTGCATGCAGGAGCGGTGGTGCAGTGGTTAGCGCAGTGGTGAGCGACCCGAGTTCTATTTCCACTCACGGCCATCATCACGGACGAATATTTGAATCTGGTCCTCCCGGACGGTCGACTCAGCCTTAAATTAGTACCTGGTGCGGTGTGTAAACTTCAGGGTTTTGGAAACAAAGGCGGGCAGGCGTGGCGCTGTCACTCACCACCTCGTGTGCCATTTTGGCCACCATAGGGTACCAACATCACTTGCCTCAAAAGTCTGTTCAAGCTATAGGGAGGATATTTTTGTCTCTGTGTACGCGTTCTCCACGTGCCAACTCTGCCAACAAGCTGGCACGCCCATGTTGGCACAGCGGAGAGTACGTGCTGCGCGTTACCTGCCAGTCATCTCAGCCAGTTTGACCCTCGTGTGCGTCCCGTGACCTCCTGCCAGCAGCGAGCCTTCGACACTCCACGTGGTAGCCTCAAAGTGCACCGAACCTGGCACGAGCGCTGAGGTGACCTCACCCCCCCCTTAAAGCGAGTTATTTCGTGATGCCGCGTTAGCGGTGGTGCACAATCACAAATAACAGCAACAACAAAAAACCCACGTCCTATGAAGAAGGGCCCTTGACCCGAAAAGTCGCCTTTTACATATAATTGTTTTTTCCCATTTTTTAAGACCGCACAGTTGTTATTTTTTTTTTGGGGGGGGGGGGGGGTGGTTTAAGTCAGCGCTCTGTACGCCACGCGGGACGTGTTTGTTTTGGTGACTTGAGGCTTTTTGAGCCAAAATGGGCCAAAGACGCGGGTTCACCAGATTTCACCCAGCCAAGTGGAGAGCGCAGACTTAGATATTTCTCTATTCGTCGCTATAGCAACAACAACAACAACATGTTACTTAAGAACGCACGATTTAAATGGAAAATATACAATTAAGATGAATGAAAGTCATATTTTTGTTTCGGAAACTCAAAATCGTATCAATTATTATTATACTGCTTTGGGACGCTATTCCAAATGATCAGGCGCGCGTAACGTGGGATAACCCACTCAACAGGAGTTGATATTTACCAAAGCATCTGTTGAGGGTATTTTGGCTGCTGTTAATGTCCACGCGATGATAAGCCACTTCGTTGAGCTGTCATTTGTGGCCAGGTCGCTTCTGAAAAAGAGCCGCATAGCTCAGTGGGCCTTACGTGGTAAAATAAAAAAAAAAGTTTATAGTATTCGGACGGGTGGGATCACGTGGTGAGTTGTGTCGAGCTATGCCTTGCCCAGGCTCCCGATGGCCCCGAGTTTTGAGCCGCGAGCCACTCGCAAACCAGAAGCACGCGGATGGCGGAGGTGTCAAGACGGCGAGAGGTTTTCATTAATAAAAAAAAGAGTCTCATCGTCGCGCTCCATCGCCACGTGTTCAACCCGCACCCTGGCTTACGCGTCGACCATTTCGAATAAAAGATCCCAACGAAGATATGGGTACGAATTTCAAATGAATCCTCAAACACGTTCGTCAATAATATTACGACCTTAATATAGAAAAAAAATGATATCGTATGCGACGTTTCGGGCAATGGCCCTTCGTCATAGCGCGACAATAGAGATTCCAGATAGGTAGAGTGCTCCATAGGCATAAGATGCTACCTATCTACGAAAAGATGTGCTGTGAAGAAGGATCATTGCCCGAAACGTCGACTATTATATATGCACAGTATTTTAAGGCAGCTTTATTGTTGAATGTGAGGTCTCTTTTATTTACTAACCAAAAGGTAGGTAGAACGGCATGTATAGGGTGATGACCATTATATATAAGAAGTGAGAGTGTTACACTGAGATTACACAACACGTGTTTATCTCTTTAACACGTAGCAGGCTTTCGCGACAAATATAATCCATAATAGAGGTGTTTGTTTTGCGTTAGATCGCGTAAATATATAAATGTGTCGTTAAAACCCGCCACAAATGTGGCTGTCGCCTGATGAAGCAAGTTGTAATTACCGGCGAAACGTCGTACTCAGATTGTAAATGTTGTGGCTTGGCTCTCTAACACACCGGTGTTGCTGTACTAGTGACGAATTGGCCACGTTCTGTTTACGTGACAGCCCTTACTAGTTGGCTGTGTCGGGTGGTGGCGGGTTTTAACGACACAACATTTATATATTTACACAATATAACCCCCCAAAAACCCCTCTATTACGTGTTTATCTATGTAACCTCGTGGTTGCTGTACCGTCCCGTTTTAATTCACCGCAGAATTCACGCCCCACTAGTGGTTGTTTAAACAGTCTGGGCTCGCTTCAACCGACGCTGGTTTGTTGGCAAGGTTTCCTCTCTGTTAGATATGGGTCACAGTTCGACGCCGGACGATGTAATGCATAACACAAGATAGTCAATGTGTGCGTGTGTGTATGATGTCTGCATGTGTGTGTGTTTTGCCTGTTGTGGGGAGCCGCACGACGCTACGAACCCGGCCACCGAGTACCATTCCCGCTCACGGCCAACACCCAGTGACGATTATCTTAATCGGTCCTGGGCTTCCCCTAGGTCGACTCAGCCTGAAATTAGCACTTGGTGCGATGTGTAAATTATCGTCGCGAGGGTGACAAAGGCGGCCCGGCGTGATGCTGGCCACCCACCCCCTCGTGTGCCGTGCCGCCCTTCATAGTTGCTTGCTAACAGCACTTGCCCCAACAGTATGGTAAGGCTATACGGGGGATCTTTGTTTTTGTTTTATATTATTGTCTCTGCGCGCGTGCGCGCGTTGGTGCATACCACGTGTCCCATCGCATAGCGCGGCAGGCATCAACATCACCACCATCATCATCATCACCACCGCCATCATCATCACCATCATCATCACCACCATCATCATCACCATCACCACCATCATCATCACCATCACCACCATCATAAACATTACCATCATCACAATCATCACCACCACCATCATCATCACCACCACCACCACCACCATCATCATCATCATCACCATCATCATCACCATCACCACCATCGTCACCATCACCACCACCACCATCATCACCATCACCACCACCACCATCATCACCATCACCACCATCATCACCATCACCACCATCATAAACATCACCATCATCATCATCATCACCACCACCATCATAAACATCACCATCATCACCATCATCACCACCACCATCATCATCACCACCACCACCACCATCATCACCATCACCACCATCATCACCATCACCACCATCATAAACATCACCATCATCATCACCACCACCACCTCCACCACCATCATCACCATCATCACGAACACCACCATCATCACCATCATCACCACCACCATCATCATCATCACCATCACCACCATCATCATCACCACCACCACCACCATCATCATCATCATCACCTCCACCACCATCATCACCATCACCACCATCATCACCATCACCACCATCATAAACATCACCATCATCACCATCACCACTACCACCATCATCACCATCACCACCACCACCACCACCATCATCACCACCATAATCACCATCACCACCATCATAAACATCATCATCACCACACACCACCACCACCACCACCATCATCACCATCACCACCATCATAAACATCACCATCATCACCATCGTCACCACCACCATCATCACCACCACCACCACCACCATCATCATCACCATCACCACCATCATCACCACCACCACCATCATCATCACCTCCACCACCATCATCACCATCATCACCATCACCACCATCATCACCATCACCACCATCATAAACATCACCATCATCATCATCATCACCACCACCACCATCATCATCACCACCGCCATCATCATCACCACCATCATCATCATCACCATCATCATCATCATCACCATCACCACCATCATCACCATCACCACCACCACCACCATCATAAACATCACCATCATCATCATCATCACCACCACCACCACCATCATCACCATCACCACCATCATAAACATCACCATCATCACCATCATCACCACCATCATCACCACCACCACCATCATCATCATCATCACCATCACCACCATCATCACCACCACCATCATCATCACCTCCACCACCATCATCACCATCATCACCATCACCACCATCATCACCATCACCACCATCATAAACATCACCACCATCATCATCATCACCACCACCATCATCATCACCACCACCACGACCACCACCATCATCATCACCATCATCGTCATCTCATCCTCACAACAATCATCTCTGGCACCCGCGTCACGGCGACATCACCAACCCCACGCCGCGCATCCAGCACCACCCCCGAGCGACACGCGTTCGCCCGCAGAGCAGTTTGGCATTTGCGAGACAGGGGCGCCTCTGTGTGCAACGGGAATAGCACGGTCACGCGCGCAATGAGGCCTCTGTCAAAATTAATTCTTCCAGATCGTCCCCCTCCTGCCCATCCTCGTCGTCCTCTTCCCTCTTCGTCGTCGTCGTCATCCTCCTCCGCATAACCCTCCCTCCTCCTCTCCCTCCTCCTCTCCCTCCTCGTCATCTCGCGACCCATCGGTCGATCGGGGAGGCGGCGAGCACCGGATCTGCAACAATGCGGCGAGGAGTCTCGCCTCGGCGGCTTTGAGCGGAGGCAATACCGCGCGGACGGACGGCGGCGGCACTGCGAGTGGAGAGGAACGAGTGGGAGACGAGCGAACGAGCGGCTGAGCGAGCGAGCGGCCGAGCGAGCGAGCGAGCCGAGCCGAGCGTGCTCATTCCATTGCACGAACGGGCGGACGCACGAGAAGGGCGCTCGGAAATTCTCCATCCTCGTCCGCGTGGCCGTGACAGGCGAAGCTCGCGGTCGACTCGCATAGACACAGACGCGCGGCTTCCGTGGCGAGCTGCGGAGGAATCCGTGTTCACGTTCCCGTTGCCTCCCCCGCCCTCCCTCCGTGGTTGAAATGAGCAGGAGACGAGGACTATCGTTACTGCTGCTGCTGATGCTGTTGATGATGACCGTGAGTGCGCACGCGATAAGCGTGGCGCTCACCAACCTAAAGCGGGACTCTCAGTTACTCGTAATCAAGAACAAGACGCCAGGTGTGTGATGGCACAAGTTCACCACACCCCTCACCTCGTCTCTTCTCTCCTATATCTATACCCTTATCCTCACCACTCCTCACCTATTCCCTCCTCGGTGGCCCTTGCCTATAAGCGTCGGACAGTTCTCCAGCATGGCTCTCAGCAAGCCTTATTCGTGCTGATGAGATACTGAACGTTAAATCCTGTCCAAGAGTTTTACTTTTGTTGAACCGATGCGGCTGATGAGGTGCAAATGTTAGAAGCTCGTGTGGGCCGATGGGCTGCGTAAAAACAATTATTATTAGTATTATTTTAAAACATGTATGTAGGGAGACGAATGTGGGATGGCGAGACTATTTAATTGCATTTTTTTTATTATATTAATTTATTTTGTATTGATTTTTTCATTTTTTTGTATCGATTTTTTCATAGTATTGATTTTTTTCAATCGCCGTTACGACCCTACACGATGACAATCTCACCCGGGATTAGCACGCCGGCCGGAGCTGCCAGGTGTTGGTTTAGAATCTGTGTCGATCGTCGAGCGGAACGTCTCCCCGTGGGAGGGGCGTGTGTCGTCTCCGTGTGCTCGCCTTTCCTCCAGCATACAAACGTCAACGTTCACGAACGGAATCGTCCAAACGACCCACGGTACATGTAGCCGACAAAAAATATCTATATAGTATCTAGGCTTTCCCAGTAAACATGCGACTTTGAGCTAACGTTGGCCCGACGTTTCCAACCACATGCCAACGTTGGATCAACGTTGGGCCAAATGCCAACGTTGGTCCAACGTTGGACCACATACCAACGTTGGACCAACGTTGGGCCACATGCCAACGTTGGTCCAACGTTGGACCATATACCAACGTTGGAGCAACGTTGGGCCACATGCCAAAGTTGGTCCAACGTTGGCATGTGGTCCAACGTTGGTTCAACGTTGGTCCAAAGTTGGTTCAACGTTGGTACGTTTACCGGGTTCATGGGTAAAGAAAGGGCATCTTTATTAATATTACATTTGTTATTACGCATTCCCGATGAACCGGCGCGTGCCAAACAACGTTATTGCATCAACAATAGCCTGGGGTCACGTGGAGGAGGGCTAATTGCTTTGTTTTTCTTTTGTCCTCCCAATCATGAAGGTTGAATGCAGCTGTCACGGCTCTGCAACGCGACCTCGTGTAGCGTTGCGCAATCAAACTATGAATCAATTCATTAAAATACCCGACACTTTAGCACGTACTGTACACACACACTTCGCCACGTCGGGGGAAATGAGGGTTGGGTTGATGGGTGAGAGGTGAGGGAGGTTACAAATACCCCAACAACTCCAACATGTTTTCCACGTATTCTATGGTTCTTTCGGTAAAGTCACGTAGATAGAAAATAAAAATAAGAAAAATATAAAATATAAAAAACTAAAAACTCACGACGTTACGATCGACTTATTACGTGTTCACTATGGGGGGGGGGGGGGTGTTCACTATTGTCACTATTGTTGTGAAATTCCAGCGCTGAGTATTAGCTAACCGCAATCGCTGTACGATAATTGAATGAAACTTTTATTCTTTCGGTAAAGCCACGTAGCTAGAAATAAAATCAAATAAAACAAATTTCTATCTACGTGACTTTACCGAAAGAACCATAGGTTATGAATTCCTGCAGTCACGAAAGTTTTGAGCCGAAATGTTTTCCACGGTTCATTCTTCTCTCGACCCGATAACATTCGTGCCTGATGTCAGGCGCACTCTCTCGAGGCCCCTTCTGGGACATCACCAGCTCGCTCGCTGTCGCCCGCGTGCGACAAATGTCCGTGCGGAGTGTCGCAAACTCTGCTCATCAGAATCTTTATTTCGACTGTGCGGAAGACGATGAGCTGTGAAGCTCTTTCTCTTTCTCACGGGTATCCAGTGGGGGCGAGTCAGCGATTTGCCAGTTTCATCTGCGTATGAACGTGCCCCCCACCCCCCCCCCCCCCTGAAGAAAATAAGAAAATGTGACCAGAAATCACCACCACGGCCACCACGAGAGCGCGCCAGAGCGGATGTGTTAGAGTTCACTCTCGGGTTAGGGTTCGGGCGATATAAGCCGGCTTTAATAATACCTTAACGAATCTGTCCGCTGATGGACTAGAGTAAGCACAACTGGCCGGTAGCAACCACAGCTCCACACACACACATATATAGGGAGAGGTAAAGTGGATGTGGTGTACCCGGCACAGATACACTTTCGGCGGTGTGGGAACGCGCCTCGCGATCACGGGCACAGCGAAAGGGTACAAGAGACGCTGCGTGCCGGATGCGGGAGCGTTTTCCGGCTCGCTCTCAGACGACGAGCAGTCGCCGCAGTCATAGCGAGATGCAGAATTAAGAACAATAATTTACATTTCGAAGGCGCATTTCATCCAAGGATCCGAATGCGCAGCGTAACTGGATGTGGTGTGCCGGGGTGCTGAGATGTTGCCAGGGTCGTTGATTGAGACAGACCCGGGTAACCTCTCCGTCTTAAGTGGAAATGGATTCGAGTCCCGTTATTATACGCCGCGACTTCTATTTTTTTCCGCCCACACCATGACATTTTCAGCAAACGAAGTGTGTGGGGAGTGCTTCTTACAATCGGGCACACGCTATGGTCCGCGTCTTACTTTCTGGAGTCGTCCGCTGATAATCCTGAGAGGACGGCGGTGGTTGTTTAAAGTGCGCTACTGCTGTTGCTGCTTCTGCTGTTGCTACTGTTATTGCTTCTGCTGCTGTTGCAGCTGTTGTTGTTGCTTCTGCTGTTGCTGATGTTGTTGCTTCTGCTGTTGCTGTTGTTGTTGCTGCTCTTGCTGATGTTGCTGCTGTTGCTGCTGCTGTTGTTGCTTCTTTTGCTGCTGCTGTTCCTGCTGCTGTTGTCGTTTCTACTATGGCTGCTGTTGCTGCTGTTGTTGATGCTGTTGTTGCTTCTGCTGTTGCTGCTCTGGTTGCTTCTGCTGTTGCTGCTGTTGTTGCTGCTGCTGCTGTTGCTGCTGTTGCTGCTAATGTTGTTGATGCTGTTGTTGCTTCTGCTGTTGCTGCTGCTGTTGCTGCTGTTGCTGCTAATGTTGTTGATGCTGTTGTTGCTTCTGCTGTTGCTGCTGTTGCTGCTAATGTTGTTGATGCTGTTGTTGCTTCTGCTGTTGCTGCTAATGTTGTTGATGCTGTTGTTGCTTCTGCTGTTGCTGCTCTGGTTGCTTCTGCTGTTGCTGCTGTTGCTGCTGATGCTGCTGCTGTTGTTGCTAATGTTGTTGATGCTGTTGTTGCTTCTGCTGTTGCTGCTGTTGCTGCTAATGTTGTTGATGCTGTTGTTGCTTCTGCTATTGCTGCTCTGGTTGCTTTTTCTGTTGCTGCTGTTGCTGCTGTTGTTGCTGCCGCTGTTGCTGCTGTTGCTGCTAATGTTGTTGATGCTGTTGTTGCTTCTGCTGTTGCTACTGGATATGCAGCAGGCTCCGTGTCCAAGGAGGCGTTCGCCCTCGAATCCCTCCACAACAAACTCCGCGCCACAGTTCAACCCTCGGCAGCGAACATGGAAAAGATGGTACGAGTGTACGAGTTCTTCAGGAGCTGTTGATGGGGGTTTGGTGTGTGCATAAAGCACGCACAGATGCTGAGCGATTTATTATTTTATTTTATTTTCTACGATGCATCGAACCAACGAGCTCCCGCACATGAGCCAACAACCCCTTCACTCCATCGCCTCGGTGGACGTCGTCTCGGGCGCGTTCGCTCCTTTGGCTACCACACCATCCTTGGTCTCGACCAGATGCCATCGCGCCTCCCAGCCAATGGCACGTTCCTGCCCGTTGCCCGATAAATTATCTGAACGGCCAATGTCGTTGCCTCCCGAATTTGCATGCGTTTTCGTCTCGAGTCCACGCGCCTCGTTGCAATTCGCAGCACGCATCTGCATGCGTGCGTGCTTATTCTTCTTCGTCGTCTTCTTCTTCTGCTTCTCCTTCATCTGCTTCTTTTTCGTCTTCTTTGTCTTTTTCGTCGTCGTCGTCGGCAATCTGAACTTGCATTAAAATTATCGTGGTAAACAAACACGCAAAAAAACACCACTCGCCTCCACTACGCGCCGAGTGATTGCAATGAAAAAATCACGACTGTTTATACAATAGCGTCTTCTACTACTACTTATTCTTCGTCTACTACTACTACTACTTATTCTTCGTCTTCTTCTTCTCCACGTGATTACCAGAGGACAAAGCCAGGCGCCAGCCCCCGCAGACCAAGAAGTCGGTGTTTTAAGTGGGCCCTCTGGTCCACCAACCCCATAGATCACCTCGAGTGCTGCCTGACCATCCGAACGCGCACGCAGACGCACACAGACGCACACACACGCACAGACGCACAGACACACGCACAGTACGCCCGGGACGTCTCCTCCCGAGCGAGTGGTTTACAATGCGAGAGAGCCGGAACTAAAAAAAATGAAAAGAGACTTCTCCACTCTGACCAAAAGCCAGGGCAGTAGCCATGGAGAAGTGGTGAAGAGGGCCTGTCTAGCGAGAGAGAGAGAGCTACACATGCACGGAGACACACGCAGAGAAAATGTATGTATGTTGAACTTTTTTCGCACCGTACGCAGCCAACCGTGATAATCAGAGGTGCGGGGGAAGGACAACAAACTAAACACAAAAGTCAGTTCCAAAGAAGTGAGTTTTCATTCGAGAAAAAACATAGAAACAGAACGAGAGAGAGAGAGAAGTGGAGAAACAGCTACCGAGAGAGTGACAGTTACAACAGACAGAGCTGGAGAGAGAGGCACAGATTGAGCGAGACGGAGGGCTAGAGGGAATGACACAGATTAGGTTTGAGAGAGATTGCTGTGTAGATACACTGAGAGCGACGGAGTGACCCAGAGTGAACACGCACGTATATGGAGACGGACAGAGAGACCGATAGAGACAACGCGGGAGATTGACGCAGGGAGCGATAGACGGAGTCTGAGACAGTTTTGCAACAGACTTAAAACAATCTTGTTCCGAAGAGCTGGCTCTGTCTGAATAGTACGCATTCTCGGTCGACTGGACCCATAGGAGTGCGCGATAACAAATGTTCAGACTTACTTAACTGGCTGTGCCGGGTGGTGGAGGATTTACGACACACGTTGAACACAACCTAACCAAAAAAAACATGTGTTTGAATCAACGCGATCAATTACAATGTACACCCTTTTGTAAATGTGTCCATCTACTGAAGGTTGAAGGTGTCCCCCATTCATCGTCTCTTCGCGAAGGCTGTTGGGCCATACTTCACAAGGCTAGGTTTCTAGCTACAGACGAGATAACAGAGGCGCATTCGGGGCGACGCGAACCCTAACCCACGAGCTCTGTGGTCCGGGGCCTCCACAGGAGTGGGACGACTCCTTGGCTCAAGTCGCCCACGAGTGGGCGGCAGTCGCTTGCGAGAATCCCCGAGCGGCAGAGGGGACCTCGGCAGAGATCCCCGAGAAACCGGGGATTCAGGGGACCGGAGCAGGTGGAAGAGGAGGCGGCCAGCGCCGCCTCGGGGTGAACCTGCACCGCGCGCCGCACGGGGCGACCTCGTTCGCCAGCGTCCTCGCCTCGTGGTTCTCCGAGGGGCAGAACTACGACTACGCGCGGCCAGGGTGCGCGCACAACCGCACGTGCCGCCACTACACGCAGGTGCGCAACCCTCGCCACACGCGCGGCGACTCTCGCTCGCTGTTGCGAGTCGCTCCACTGCCCTCCTGTCGTTGTTGTTGTTGTTGTTATTTGGAGGGCGACTGCTTCCGACTGCCCAGCAGCGTCCTTCACGAGCCGGTCATCTGCAAGTCCAGTCAGCTCCATATCCTCCTTCTCCAGCCCGTGCCGCGCCCGTTTAGCCCCCTCTATCCGGCAGAACAAAAGCTGTTGAGGCATGCGGTGACTGGCTGGGTATATGCCCCTTGCCAACGCAGGCTCACCTGCCGCAGGAGCTCACCGATGGGACCGTGTCGCACAAAGACAAAGCTCCACCGTATAGCCTGTAATAGACTGTTTGGTGCAAGTGCTGTTGGCGAACACCTATGAAGGCCGGCACGGCGCACGAGGGGGTGGGTGGCCTGCACCATGCCTGGCCGCCTTTGTCTCCCCTGTGGCGATGATTTTTACGCACCGCACCAGGTACTCATTTGAGGCTGAGTCGACTTAGGGGAGGCCCAGGACCGGTTCAGATAATCGCTGTAACTGGTGTTGGTCGTGAACGGTACTCGAACACGGGTCGCCAGGTTCATAGCGTATCGCGCTAACCGCTACACTACCGTGTCGCGCACACAAAAACACACGCACACACACACGCGCACGCACGCACCCCATCACGTCTTCCTCGCCGAGCAGATGGTGTGGGCCTCGGCGAGTCGTGTGGGCTGCGCCAAGCGCTGGTGCCGGGACCCAGGGAGCCGCGTGGAGGCGTTCGCGTGCGTTTACCTGCCCGGGTGAGCGGAGGGCACGGAAGGGTCATTGTGCCAACTACTGTTCCCCTCCCCCTCCATACATATTACCTAAAGAGGCTGTTGGGACGAGTGCTGTTAGCGAGCACCTGTGACGGCCGGAACCGCACACGAGGGGGTGGGTGGCCAGCACTATGCCCGGCCGCTTTTGTAACCCCAGAGGCGATGATTTTTACACACCGCACCAGGTACTCATGCGAGGCCGAGTCGACTTAGGGGAGGCCCAGGACCGGTTTAGATCATTGTCGCTGGTGTTGGCCGTGAGCGGATATCGAATCGAACTCGGGATGCCGGGTTCGTAGCGCGCTGACCGCTACACTACCGCTCCCCCTACACTCACACACCAACACGCGCACTTCAACGCCCTACAGCCCATGAGCATCGGCAAGTTCCAAAGCCGTGGCTAGATTTTGGCGACCGGCGCAAGGTGCCAAAGGGGCCGTCCATAAATGACGTCACGCACCTGGGGTGGGGGGTCAGACATTTGTGACGAGGGGGGGGGGTTGAGAAATGTGACGTCACATCAAAATGCGCAACTTTAAATAAATATAGAATTGTTATAAAAACACTAATTGTTATAAAAAAACACTCATACAACATCAGAGTGCAGCGGCACATTAAATACGCACTACAATGACAATAGTTTAAAGCGATTTGAAGAATTTTTATTTTCAAAATGGAAAAATGGTTTTTTGGGGGGGGGGCAGAGCTTTGTGACGTCATATTTGAGGGGGGGGTCTGACTTTTTGTGACGCCGTGTCACGAGGGGGGGGGGGGTAAAAAATCGTCCAAAATCGCGTCACGTCATTTATGGACGGCCCCAAACCTTTGCGCCACCGTCACCCATCTCGCTGCTTTGAGACGCCAGAAAATATCTTGGCTCGAAACTTTGGGGGGGGCGGTGCTCCGCTCCGGGGTGGGGGGGGGGCGTGGCTCTCGGCCTAGCCCGGCCCCGCCTCAGCCGCGACAGCACCCGGCGGGAGGCATCTGTCAATCGTTTGCTCGCTCGCAGACCCACACGCACCTAACACTTGTGACAGTGGGGTGACAAGTGGCGCTTTTTAAACGTGTGCGACCGGGCTTAATTAAATTTACCCCACGTGCCAACCGAAGCCCCCAGTGCGGAGGGCGGCAAGGCACGGCCGCGCCAATCCAGAATTTTCCAGGGCGATTCGCTGACCGCGTATGTGACTGTCCTACCACCAAATTCAACCTGAATACGCCGGATCTCAAAAGCTAAGCAGGAAAAATCCACGCGTGCGAGGGGGGAAACACTCTATCCCGTCCAGACGGAACAGGTGGAGTACACATGTTGCTGTACTGCCCTCTCTTGGAGAGCCAGGTTATGGCACCATCTCGATGCCCACGGATAAGAGAGTTTCAAAACGTTCCGCACGTGATACCCCAATCCTCGCTTCCAAACAGTGCTGGATTACAGGCCACGTGCATAGCCACCACCAACTTCCCGGCTCAAAGGCCGTGTTCGTGTCGAGTGTCGTAACGGACCTACACTGCCACCCAGTGGCTCACCAGGGCTGGGTAGCGCTCTGCGAGTGGAATGTTTACCACAGTCAATAAGTTGGGAGCAAGCTCCCCCCCCCCCTCCGACCCTGACTCAGTCAAATTATTGGGCGCCACCGCTCTCAATAACTACCCTTGATTACTGCAACAATACCACAATACCTGGCTTGCGTGTGCTAAGCATGCATTCGCTCAAAATCCGTGTCAAGGTGTGCAATCAACAGTTTACCTATTAGACATCTGCTAAAAAAGAGCGTTATAGCTCATCGGATTCCTCCACTCTCAATATTCAGATTTTGATTCTGGTTTTGTGGAACCACCGTCACATACCCGCCCTGACCAATTAACTGCCCTCGCCCAGTGCAGTATTGTTGCCACGGTAATTTTCTTCAGGTGTTCACAAATCTGACCTTTTGACATCCGGCCACGTGTTCCTCATCTCGCTCGCCTCTAAATAGCGCAAGTGCAGCGTCTCTTCGCGTTCAAGGCAGCTGGCGCTTCACGTGGCCGTCGGGCTCGCTCGTACCCACCCGCTCGTTTGACTGAGTTCGCTTTGATTCCCGGCAGAGGAAACTGGCTTCTGGATGGCAAGACGATCGCTCCCTACAAGGCGGGAGACTGGTGCTCGCTCTGCACCTCCGTCAAGTCCGGCTGCTTCAAGCACCAGGGCGCAGGTGGCCTGTGCGGTGAGCAAGGGGGCACCCACGGCAGGCGCTGGGTGACGTGAGCCATGGGCAGGTGCCAGGTGACGTGAGCCAGCGGCAGGTGCCAGGTGACGTGAGCCAGGGTCAGACTCCAGGTGACGTGAGCCACGGGCAGGTGCCAGGTGACGTGAGCCAGGGTCAGGCTCCAGGTGACGTGAGCCAGGGGCAGGCACTGGGCGACGTGAGCCAGCGCCAGGTGCCAGGTGACGTGAGCCAGGGGCAGGTGCCAGGTGACCTGAACCAGGGGCAGACACTGGGCGACGTGAACCAGGGTCAGGTGCCAGGCGACGTGAACCAGGGTCAGGTGCCAGGTGACGTGAGCCAGCGGCAGGTGCCAGGTGACGTGAACCAGGGTCAGGTGTCGGGTGACGTGAGCCCGGGGCACATTTACGACGCATTTATATTTACGCGATCTATTATGGACGCGTGTACTTGCAGATATATATAAAACATATATGGTGAATTGTATCAGGGCACGCCTATCCAAAAACAGCCCATGTTATTGTACCTTGTATTAATATAATGATTTGAATAGGGTTATATATATACAGTACATGTATATGCATGAGCAATCATGAAAAAACCTGTATATTTATAGTAACTTGCATATATGCAAACGTCTATTGTGCCTTGAATATTGCAATGTTTGTACGGAGCGTTGAATATTTTCACATGTAACCTTTCAATGACTGGCGCATTACCAAACAGACACACACCCACATGTACAATTACAAAATTAGCCGAGTCGTTTGCGGATCTGGCAAACAATAATTCCCAAAACATAGTTACGGACTACTGCATACTGAAATTCAAACACCGCTAACTTAAGTGGTTATTCAATGCTGACTCTTGCAGCGGCGGCTCGTCGATACGGAACGACCCGAACTTTGGCAACTGGACACTTTGACGCTTTCCTGGATAAATGACGTGCGGTTGAGTCTAAGAAGCCTTGCAACTTCACCGTTGTGCTGCTGCTGCTATTGTTGTTGGTTGTTGATTGTTTCTTGGTTTCTGTCTTCTAACGATGAATCTCCCGGGACGTGCGAGGTAAAAGTAAAGTCACGTGTGGCTGAGTCTCTCTTTCTCAGTACCCAACGCCTCACTTTCCTTCAATCGTTTGTTGTTTCGCCCACACCCTCCACTCTCTCTGTCTCTCACCGGCAGCCCTTTAGCATGATTATTATTATTAATGCGTTCTAACCAAGGTTGACGATAAGCTGGCGCACTTGTTGAGGTTAATTTGTGCTTGGGCAACACTTTGCTCGGGACTGAAAGGGGTTAATGTAACAGCTGTGTCCGGTCTGTCTGTCAGTCTTCACAATACAATCGGAACTTTAGTGCAAAGTTCCCGCATCACCGATTAGCACGGTTGGCTATGTACGATGTGAAAGAGGTTCAACACACATCCAGTACGTAGATTCTCCACTCGTTTTCCACGCTTTCCCTCGTTTTTCACGTACCCCCTAGTTTTCGATTAATTCCCACTTTTTTAACGCATTCCCTCGTTTCCTACATATTCCCTCGTTTTCCACGAAATCCCTCGTTTTCCACGCATTTCCTACTTTTAACGCATCCCCTCGTCTTCACACATTCCCTCGTTATCCACTCATTCCCTCGTTTTCCACCAATTCCCTAGTTTTCCACGCATTCCCTCGTTTTCCACGCATTCCTCATTTTCCACTCATTCCCTCGTTTTCCACACATTCCCTAATTTTCCACTCATTCCCTCGTTTTCCACGCATTCCCTCGTTTTACACTAATTCCCTCGTTTTCCATGCATCCCCTCGTTTTCCACGCATTCTCTCGTTTTCCACTAATTCCCTCTATTTGCACGCATTCCCTCGTTTTCCACGCATTCCCTCGTTTTCCACGCATTCCCTCGTTTCCCACGCATTCCCTCGTTTTCCACTAATTCCCTCTATTTGCACGCATTTCCTCGTTTTTCACTCATTCCCTCGTTTTCTACTCATTCCCTCGTTTTCCACGGATTCCTTCGTTTTCCACGCACTCCCTCGTTTTCCACGCATTCCCTCGTTTTTCACTCATTCCCTCGTTTTCCACTCATTCCCTCGTTTTCCACACATTACCTCGTTTTACACTCATTCCCTCGTTTTCCACGGATTCCCTCGTTTTCCACGCACTCCCTCGTTTTCCACGCATTCCCTCGTTTTCCACCCACTCCCTCGTTTTCCACGCATTCCCTCGTTTTCCACGCATTCCCTCGTTTTCCACGCACTCCCTCGTTTTCCACGCATTCCCTCATTTTCCACACATTCCCTCGTTTTCCACGCATTCCCTCGTTTTCCACTCATCCCCTCGTTTTCCACACATTCCCTCGTTTTCCACACATTCCCTCGTTTTCCACTCATTCCCTCGTTTTCCACACATTCCCTCGTTTTCCACACATTCCCTCGTTTTCCACGCATTCCCTCGTTTTCCACGCACTCCCTCGTTTTCCACACATTCCCTCGTTTCCCACGCACTCTCTCGTTTTCCACTCAATCTCCACCCATTCTCCACTTACGTTTCCGCCATTCCCCTCTCTGTCTCTCTCTCCTTCTCCGCTCATTCTACGCTCTCTCCCCGCTCATTCTCCGCTCACGAGTAAGCACATTTATGAGCGCGCAACTCTTCTGAGCGACGTTGCCACGGCGCCGTCTCCACAGAGGTGCCGCAGAACCGCTGCCGGATGAACTGCGGGCGCCACGGCCACCTGGACTCGGCGAGCTGCAGGTGCAGCTGTGCGTCCGGTTTCTCTGGGAAGTACTGCCAGGGTGAGGACTCACCCCCCTCCCTACCACCGCCCCCTCTCCCCCATCCACCTCGCCCACCTCCTGCACCTCCCACATCTCTCTCACCACCCCGACACCAATTAGACTGTGCGTGAAGGCGTCGTGGATGTTGTTGTTGTTTGTCTTTCAGTGAAGTGCGCCTACCCCTGCGTGCATGGACGGTACAGGGAGGAGGAGTGCTCGTGCGTCTGTAACCTGGGCTACGGAGGGCTCACCTGTGCAGGTGAAGCCTCTCGTCACGCCAGTTCTCCCCTAGGGAATAAGATATAATTGTATTTATGTGTTTTTTTTTTAGCAGGAAGGCCCCGGTGAGCTTGTTAAGCTCTATTATTTAATTGGCGTCCTTCCACGTGGTACAGACGTTGCTACAACGGTGCGGGGTCTTGGCGATCAATCACGGCGACGTGATTGGTCTGCGACACAAAACGACACGGTGTGACGCAAGCATGGTGCTTCACACGTCACAGCAACAGGGGGACCGGTCGACAACGTTAACAACAACAACATGTGTTCTGTTTACACAATAGGGAGAGGACTTATTAGTACGTCGTATTATTACATTGCTTCGCCTTCGGAAAGCCTCGGACTTTTTTTTTCTGTAAGAGTCCTGCCAAGTTTTTGTTCGCAGTAGGGGGCGATGTTGCTGTGAGTGATGGGCGGTGGTGTCGCTGTTAGCGACCTGCTCGACGAATCCGGCGATCCGAGTTCGATTCCCGCTCACGGCCAACACCAGTGACGATTATCAGAACCGGTCCTGGGCCTCCTCTAGATCGACTCGGCCTAAAATATCTGGTGTGGTGTGTAAACATCGCCACTAGTAAGGCAAAGGCGATCGGGCGTGGTGTTGACCACCCACCCCCTCGTGTTCCGTGCCGGCCTTCATAGGTGCTCGTTAACAGCACTTGCCCAAATAGTCTGTTAAGGCTATACGGGGGACATTTGTTCTTGATGCCAATCAAGTTGGCACTGTAGAGGGCACAGGCGGTGCATCAGCCAGTCATCTCAGTCAACCAATGGCACCTGGGTCTGTCCCGTAACCTCCTACCAGCGGGCGTTCGACACTTCACGTGGCCTTAACGTGCACATAGCCTGGCACAAGCACCGTGGTGACGTCGCCGCCTCTTAGTGGCGACTGTCGGTTGTTGTTGTTGGTGGTGATGCCAATTGAGTAATTTGCAGTGCCATTTTTTTCAGCATTGGGATGCTTGGATAATAGCAGTTACACCGTAGCAGTGGCGGTCCCTGGTGGTCTTGAGTGCAACCCCCCCTCGACAAAACACAAAGAGCGAAAACACCCCCCATGGTCATCGTGCTGCTGTCAAACCCCCAATGGTTGCAAATGTGTGGTGGCCCTCACGCGCTGACGTGGTGTCTTATCGGCGAAAGTAGCCCCCCACCCCCCATCTGAAAATTAGTGAAGAACACTACACTATAGGTTGTTTTTAGCTATAGGAGGACACTGGAGAACTCCGAAGGAAACCCATGCAAAACACGGAGAGAACACACCACGCACTCTGCACGGAGATGCACCCGAGTTAGGGATCGAACCCAGGCTTTATTTGATGTCAGTTCACAAGCGTCGTCACTCTGCCACTCCGCCACCCGCACTCGATGGGCGAGTGTCTGCCTTGCGTGAGCGACTTACGATGTCCCACACCGACATGTTGATCGCTAATTTGTAACCTTGTGGACTCTCTGGCCATGTCGAATACCTCGCTGGAGTCCCGCGCCTCTTAGAAATGACCTGGCGATGCACAAGCACACACACGACAACAACAACAACGACAACAACAACAACGACAACAACAACAAAAACTCCACACGTGTCGAGCACACTTCGTTTTTTTTCTCCCATTAAACATTTCATACGGAGTGGCGTGTTGTTGTTGTTGTTGTTGTTTATCTTTGTCCACAACAACGATAAGAAGAGAGGCGTCTAAATTTTGATTTAAAGCTTTCGTGACTGCAGGGATTCATATTCTTGGTTCTTTCGGTAAAGTCACGTTGAAGGGAAACAATGAAATAATAAAATATATATAGACCAATAAAATTCCCTTCAACGTGACTTCACCGAAAGAACCAAGAATAAGAGAGGCGACGTTTCGGGCTGCGGCACATTTCCGGCCCGCCTGCCGACTCAGGGGGCCGCGCGTTGTCGGCTCTTGCCCCTCCTCCTCCCCCCCCCCCCCCCACTCCACGGGTGGCAGAGCGAGCGGAGTTCCCGTACCACAGCTGCTCGCTGCGTGTGGAGGACGAGTGCCTCTCCGTGTCGGTCGACAGGGAGACGTTCTACACGGCGCGCAACCAGTGCCAGGTAGCGACGCCGGCCTCCCTCCCACCCTCTACCCGCCCCGCCCTCCTCTGGGGTTGTGGGGGTCGTACCGCCTGTTGACGGTCTCGCCGGTCGTTTTTTTTTAGACTCTTTAGATTATTTGGGCTGATATGACTGGCCAAAATCGATAGGCCACTTTTTTTTTACGAGCTATCACAACAAACGCGATAGGAGTGCGAAGTACAACAACGTTAAACAAATCACCCAAACGCACATACAAGTAACGCTGAACCATCACCATCCTAACCAGGCAAAGCCCACTGAGGTATTAACTTATATTGATTTGAAGCTTTCGTGACTGCAGGAATTACTCTTTGGTTCTTTCGGTAAAGTCACGTAGAAAGAAAATAAATTAAATAATACGACACGACTGTGTCGATTGCAACACAAGCAGTCGTCATCAGGTAGAACTAAATTTGAGAGAGAGACAAAACACAGACACGGAGACACACAGACAGACACACAAGCAGAGAGAGACAACACAGAGACACACACAGAGAGAGACACACAACATAGACACATGTTTGTCAATAACTCCGCGAGTGGCCTTAGCAGGACAGGATGTATAACGGGCATTGGCTCTGCTTCATAGCACACCCGTTTATGGCACACGGTGTGCCATGTTAGTATGTTGAACTTCTTTCGCACCGTACGTGGCCAACGGCGATAATCGGAGGTGCACGGGGAAGGATAACAAACTCAACTAAAAAAGCAGCTCCAAAGAAATTAGTTTTCAATCTAGATTGAGAAGTACATAGCTCCAGTGGCTTCCTAATATTGGAAGAGCGTTCCAGACGGCCGCAGAAGCGCGTGTGAAAGCAGCGCGATGCGGTAACCGTCTTTTTTAAGGTCACGAACAAGGGCCGTCACCCGAAACGTCGCCCATTATACGTTTAAGGCCACGCTCTGTGTCGCGTCGTTATCCGTTCAACGCTTTTCGTTTTGTTTTTTTGCCACCGTCTTCTTCCCGTGTTTGGCGAGCGCAGGGCCGAGGGGGGACCCTCGCGCAGATCGAGAGCCAGCGGGAGCAGGACCTCCTCTCCTTCTACCTGCTCAGGGCCACCGACAGCAACGACGTCACGGGCCTGGAGCCCGAGTCCAACAGCTTCTGGATAGGTGCTCCCGCACGCCCGGTCCATGATACCCCCCCCCCAAGAACTCCCACGCTCCAAATTCGTCATCGTCTTCGGATCGGATAGACGGTGTATTGGGAAAAATAAATTGGGAATGTTTTCTGCCCCTGGTATCCCAGGGATAAAGCTGCATGACTGGTGCCACGGTGGCGAGATGTTAACTACCTTGCCAGGTATACTGGGGGTCGGAGGTTCGATCCCGACCATGACGCTTGTTTATTTGGAGATTGCGCGTCTATCTATCCCCGTGGTCGCGTGGATTTTTCTCCGGGTCCTCCGGCTTTTTCCTCCGCATTTAGAATCAACAAGCCTTCATACATTTCCACATGATACGCCAATTCGTTGAGCTGTCATTTGTGATAGCCAGGTCGCTTCTGTAAAAAGAGCTTTCCAGCACAGTGGACTTTACCTGATAAAATATAACAAATTGTTTAGTTCATAGTTTAACTCCCGTGGTCTCAAGACGGGAGCTGAGCCTTCAGGCAAACCTCTAGGTCTACTGGTCAATATTCGTCCCGAACCTGACCTATGGCCACAAAACCTGGATTCTGACGGAAAGGACACGCTCAAGGTTGCAATCAACAGAAATTGGCTTCCTGCGCATGGTGGCAGGGCTCTCTCTCCGGGATCGGGTGAGAAGCACGGCTATCCTCCAGAGACTCGACGTCCAGTCGGCACTATTGAGCGTGGAGCGAAGCCAGCTACATTGGATGGGTCACCTGCTAAGGATTCCGAAATAAATACTCCTCCCCGGGAGACGTTCGAAGGACGTCCTCCAAGCAAAAGACCCAGAAGCCGCTCGCGATCGCCCTGGAGAGACCAAGGTGGTGGTGCGCCTGGCAGAAGGAGAGACCGGCGATCCGGTAGCTGGCGGAGGACACGGCAGGATGTGGAAAGGCCTTGATGGAGTCACCGCCCCCGTGACCCGATTCAGTTCGGAAAAGCGGGCCGATATTTGTTTGACCGATAGTTTAACTCTTGGCCGTGCTCACGTCCGTCAGGTCTCACCTACAAGGTGTCTAAAGGCGTCTTCCGCTGGGACGATGGGAGAGCCGTCAACTTCAGCAGCTTCGCCTTGGGACAGCCGGACAGCCACGGGTGAGACCAACCCGGCGCGAGCATGAGGAGGGTTTGGACGAGGGGGGGGGGGTGCTCTCTTGACATTTTTGGGGATTAACAACGAAACAAAAAAATAAATCACCCAAATCAGGGGGTCTAAGGTACGATGTTTCGGATCCGAAAACGTAGTTTTGTTTTGCGGTGCAAATTGTGGGCGGGTACCGATTGCAACCGGCAATTATGACTGCTCAACCCGCGCTATGATCATTGCTTTGATATTGCGCAATGCCTTTGTGCTGTTCGCCTTTTGGGCGTTCTCTGGTCTGACACTGGAGAGACGAAGCCATACGGGAGGCTGTCTCTGGTGTAGGACAATCAGTTTCAACGACCATGCGTACGGTACCAAAGCACGTTTGCACGCACGTTTTACCACAAGCATGCCTAGCAACAGGCGTCTATTTGGTGTCTGAACGCTTTAACACCTTATTTTGTTCTTTCGGTAAGGTCACGTAGAATGAGAATAAAATAATAAAATAACACAATAAAATTCTCACGACGTTTCAGCCACAACGCAAAGCGGCCGTCTTCAGGTGAAAGGTACAGACCTGTCGGGACGACAGAGCTTCACACCTCCTGTATGATCGCCGTTTGTTTCCGGCAAAAAAAACTTCCAAAAATTTGGTGAGTGGATGTGTGTGTGGTTGGCAGTTGGAATTGAGCGAAATTTAGTGCAGGCTGAGCCCATCAACTCACTGCACTTGCGAATTCCAGTTTAGTATTGTCCAGAATCGCAAGTTCTGGATTCTCAAGTGTAAGGGGCGGCTGCCTGGAATGGAACTCAGAAACTCGGCAGTAGCGCAAGGCTACGTGCCCTATAAGCCACCCGTTTCAATTCTGAATCTAATCCTAATCAGTAAATCACTGACGCGCTGCCAAAACCTGACATGCTGCCAAAGCCCCCGAAGCTTGCAGAAGTTATAACAACCAGAGTTGGAACGCTCTGGCACTTAATCATCGCGTTTAAAACGACTTCATACGCACGAATGTTGACGTTCTTTCGCACCGTACGTAACCAACCGTGCTCATCGGCGGTGCGGGGAAGGACAACAAACTAAACAATAACAACAACAAGAACAAGCAGTTATTTAACAAATACGTTTTTCAGTTTAGATTTAAAACATCCCGCCGTGCGGTTGTTTGCGTTTAGGTTCGGCAACTGCGTGGTGATGCACGCAGAGTCTGGCTTCAATTGGAACGACCGCCCTTGCCGCTCCCGGAACAGATTCATCTGCCAGTTCGGTGAGCGTGGAGAGCGTTGTGAGCGTGGTGAGCATGGTGAGCGTGGTGAGCTTGGCTAGCGTGGTGAGTCGTATTCTCCCTATCAGTACCGTATTCTCCCTATCAGTACCGTATTCTCCCTAGCAGTACCGAATTCTCCCTAGCACTACCGTATTCTCCCTATCAGTACCGTATTCTCTCTAGCAGTACCGTATTCTCCCGATCAGTACCGTGTTCTGCCTAGCAGTACCGTATTATCTCTAGCCGTACCGTATTCTCCCGATCAATACCGTGTTCTGCCTAGCAGTACCGTAATCTCCCTAGCAGTACCGTATTCTCCCGATCAGTACCGTATTCTCCCTAGCAGTACCGTATTCTCCCGATCAGTACCGTATTCTGCCTAGTAGTACCGTATTCTCCCTAGCAGTACCGTATTCTACCTAGCAGTACCGCATTCTCCCTAGCAGTACCGTATTCTCTCTAGCAGTACCGTACTCTCCCTAGCAGTACCGTATTCTCGCTAGCAGTACCGTATTCTCCCGATCAGTACCGTATTCTGCCTAGCAGTAACGTATTCTCCCTAGCAGTACCGTATTCTCCTGATCAGTACCGTATTCTGCCTAGCAGTACCGTATTCTCCCGATCAGTACCGTATTCTCCCTAGCAGTACCGTATTCTCCCTAGCAGTACCGTATTCTCCCTAGCAGTACCGTATTCTCCCTAGCAGTACCGTATTCTCTCTAGCAGTAACGTATTCTCCCTAGCAGTACCATATTCTCTCTATCAGTACCGTATTCTCCCTAGCAGTACCGTATTCTCCCTAGCAGTACCGTATTCTCCCTAGCAGTACCGTATTATCCATATCAATGCCGTATTCTCCCTAGCAGTACCGTATTCTCCCTAGCAGTACCGTATTCTCTCTATCAGTACCGTAGTCTCCCTAGCAGTACCGTATTCTCCCTATCAGTACCGTATTCTCCCTAGCAATACCGTTTTTTCCCTAGCAGTACCGTATTCTCCCGATCAGTACCGTATTCTGCCTGGCAGTACCGTATTCTCCCTAGCAGTACCGTATTCTCCCGATCAGTACCGTATTCTCCCGATCAGTACCGTATTCTCTCTAGCAGTACCGTATTCTCCCGATCAGTACCGTATTCTGCCTAGCAGTACCGTCTTCTCCCTAGCAGTACCGTATTCTCCCGATCAGTACCGTATTCTGCCTAACAGTACCGTATTCTCCCTAACAGTACCGTATTGTCTCTAGCAGTACCACATTCTCCCTAGCAGTACCGTATTCTCCCGAGCAGTACCGTATTCTCTCTAGCAGTACCGTATTCTCCCTAGGAGTACCGTATTCTCTCTATCAGTACCGTAGTCTCCATAGCAGTACCGTATTCTCCCTATCATTACCGTATTCTCCCTAGCAGTACCGTATTATCCCTATCAGTACTGTATTCTCCCTAGCAGTACCGTATTCTCTCTAGCAGTACCGTATTCTCTCTAGCAGTACCGTATTCTCCCTAGCAGTACCGTATTCTCTCTATCAGTACCGTAATCTCTCTAGCAGTACCGTATTATTCCTACCAGTACCGTATTCTCCCTAGCAGTACCGTATTATCCATATGAGTACCGTATTCTCTCTAGCAGTGCCGTGTTCTCCCTATAAGTACCGTATTCTCCCCAGCAGTACCGTATTCTCTCTAGCAGTACCGTATTCTCTCTAGCAGTACCGTATTCTCCCTAACAGTACCGTATTCTCCCTAACAGTACCGTATTCTCCCTATCAGTACCGTATTCTCCCTAACAGTACCGTATTCTCCCTAACAGTACCGTATTCTCCCTATCAGTACCGTATTCTCTGTAGCAGTACCGTTTTCTCTCTAGTAGTACCGCATTCTCCCTATCAGCACCGTATTCTCTCTAGCAGTACCGTATTCTAATAGTACCGTATTCTCCCTATCAGCACCGTATTCTCTCTAGCAGTACCGTATTCTAATAGTACCGTATTCTCCCTAGCAGTACTGTATTCTCTCTAGTAGTACCGTATTATCTCGAGCAGTACCGTTTTTTTCTGCCAGTACCGTATTCTACATAAAATTACCGTATTCTCCCTAGCAGTACCGTATTCTCCCGATCAGTACCGTATTCTGCCTAGCAGTACCGTATCCTCCTTAACAGTGCCGTATTCTCTCTAGTAGTACCGTATTCTCCCTAGCAGTACCGTATTCTCCCTAGCAGTACCGTATTCTCCCTAGCAGTACCGTATTCTCCCAAGCAGGACCTTATTTTCCCTATCAGTACCGTATTCTCCCTAACAGTACCGTATTCTCTCTAGTAGCACCGTATTCTCCCTGGCAGTACCTATTTTCCCTATCAGTACCGTATTTTCCCTATCAGTACCGTATTCTCCCTAGCAGTACCGTATTATCCCTGGTAGTACCGTATACTTTTTTCGTCCCATTGTCCGGTCGTAACTTATTTAATAACTTTATATTTTACAACCTCGTTTCCTGTTTTCCCGGGACGTCGCATTTTCCATTAATATTTTGTTTAATTTCCCCACAGAGACTCATAGCCTCACACAGAGACCTATAGACCTACATAGAGACCCGGTTACAGCTCCAGTCGTCTGGAGTTCACGCCCTCCATAGACTGACGCCCATAGATTGACACAGAGACTCATGGACTCACACAGAGACCTATAGACTTACATAGAGACCCGGTTACAGCTCCAATCGTCTGGAGTTCACTCCCTTCTCTCTCTCTGCACACTTTGGCGTCGAGAGCGGGTGGTGGTGGTGTTGGTGGGAAAAGTGAAAAAACGTTTTCCGGAGCTCAGCCCACGACTGCTGTGATTTATTTTCTCTCCTGTTATTTCGTTAGGAAAGAAACACAGGATACACTGGAGCTACAAACCCTAAGCTCGGACGGAGAAGTCGGCGCAACCGTCTGGGTCATCCGCTGGGCGCAAGCCGCGTCTTGCACACACGCACAAGACCAAACAACAACAAAACCCGTTTAGCCTCGACAGACTTTTGAGTCAAGTGCCGTTAGCGAGCACCTATGAAGGCCGGCACTGCACACATGGTGGGAGGGGAGGGGGGCGCACACGCACACACGCGCGCACACGCACACACACACACGCGCGCACACGTGCGCACGATCTCTCTCGGTAGGGCAGAGGTGGGCACCCGACGCACCCCCCGCGCGGCTCTCCGTGCGCGTTGCGGGCGGTAGCGCGCCGCGCGCGTTGCTTCCGGCCCGACGTCCAACGTTCCGCTCTCCCGCCGAGGACGTGGAGCGAATCGTCGGACGCCGTGCCGAGCGGCGCTTCGGGATGCGCCAGAGACGAAGAGCTGCGCGGCGCGGTCGTGAAACCCCAAAAGCCGTGGCCCGATCCTACGCAGCCTGGAAATCCAAATACACCGCTCCCCCCCACCTCCCATACACGCACGAGGGACCAGCCTCAAATCCTACATCAAAGCTTTCGTATGTTCCTCTACTCTGACGCGTTAATCCGGGAGAGTCACGCCGCCTTGTAGGACTCGTTTTCAGGAGGGCCCTGCTATTTGTAAGATGCCTTCAGCCCATTAAATTACGAGTTGTGTTCATTGCTATTATTAAACAAGAGGAAGGAAACCGGGACACCCGGAGGAAATCCACGCCTTGCGCGAGAGGGCTGCACTCCATTCCCCGTACAGATGGAAACATATTCTGGAAACAGTCCACCTGCTGTACCGCCTTCTGCTGGCGAGTCACTGGTACACGGCACCTCCTCGGCGCCCACGGGAAGGGAGTTGGATTAGAGGCAGCGGCCACGTGCGTAGCCGCCGCCTGATCGCACCACGCCCAACCGTGAATACGAAGGGCGCTTTGGCGGATTGACCTGGAAAAGTTTTTTTTATAGTCTGGCTTCGCCGTTCATCGCTCACGCTGAAGGAATTCACGACGCTGCCAATCGGAAAGCAAAGCCTCGAGTTTGGCGCATTCTCTCTTTTTATTTATTTATTCGGTGTGTGTGTGGTTTTTTACTTCCAACTCACACAAAATCCATTGCATTCACCGTCCGTGTTTCTGTCACTCGGGGAAGGGGTAGTGGGGGGGAACGACGAATCGACGGCTGCGTTTCATGGATAACACTCGGCGAAATTTATTTTCTCGTGAAAAACTCAACGCGTCCGTCCACAACAACAACAACAACGTGGCACTAAATACAATATATATATTATAAGGTGGCGTTTCAGCGCAATGGCCCTCATTTCTCATCGTGGGACATGGCTAGAGATGCCAGTGAGATGGAGTGGATCAAATTTGGAGCAGTACGACCATAACGTGAAACGCCACCCGTAATATATTTTTAAACTCATATAATATTTTCTCCAATTTGCGCCCATTTTCTTGTGGGCCCTCATGATCTGAGAACCCAAGGGACCAGCGTGGTCTCGTGTGCAGAGAGTGACCTGATTGCAGTGGCCTTTGTTCATTGATGTGCAGTAGAAGAAGGAAAGGTTACCCAATACGTCGCCTAATATACAAAAAAACGATTTGAAAGCCACAGTTTTGACAGACGTGGTGAGTTTTTTTTGTAATTATTATTTGAGCTTGTGCGCCAAAGCCAACACAACAGCAGCAACACCAAATAATTGGTTTTCATTTCTCATGGATTGTTTTTTTTATCTGTCTAAAGTGCCCTCAAGCCCCAACACCCAACCCGCTGTGGGATGGGGGAAATATTTTCAAGAGTTCAGCCCCATACAGCTCCGGCTGAAATTACTCGCCCCTTAGAAATATAGTTTACATAATAATACTTTCATGTTATATAGCGTAATTCATACCAGCAGCATCCCACAACATCCGGACCGGCCCACAGGTCTTGCATGATCGCTTAAAACTTCGTCGCGGCTCGAGAATGTTTGTATACATTTTCTGTACGTGTGTGTGTCTGTGTATATGTACGCTGTACAATTGATTTACCGAAAAAAGTAAAAATTTTCGTAACTAATTTTGAGCGAAAAAAACGGTTCGTGCCAGCATTTTAAATGTCACTAAAAATGTTTAACGCGCGCTCGCCATTTTACGCATTGGGCATCAACACTAACAATTAAAACGAAATTAATTAACGCTTTGAGTGCCGCTCGCTGCAATAGAGAAACAGGAGGAGGAAGATAACCCCACGTGGAGAAGACAAGTCAGGGATGTCGGCCACGAGGTCAACGGGGACCACTGGTTCCTTCCCCGCGGGCCACACTTTCTCTCCAGCCTATAGCAGCGTGACAACGGGACCCGCTTTCCGTTTCAAACGCCCGGCAGCTGCGCCGGGCTCCGAGACGTCCCGTGGCACGCTGAAAGGACCACCCACCCGCTGGCCTTGAGGCCGTCGCGAATAGCACGCAGGACTTGCGATCCGGAGGGTTCGCGGGACGTCGATCTCAGCTCCTGGCGCGCCAAGGTTGAAACAATGGGGGCAAGATTCTCAAATCTCTCTCCCCCCCCCCCCAACACACCTCGCAATTGCGCTGTCTCTGTCCACCCAGTTGCAGTGATGGTGGGGTAAAGTGTGGGTGCTGGTCAACGTGGAAGAGCCGGGCGGCAAAATACCACCCGAGAGTCAGTTCTATAGCGGAAGGCCTCTTTTGCGACTGCAGCAGGGCCCGCACCTTTCCGCCAGAAAAGTGCAGCTACGCGTGGTCCTTCGTCCCGTCTTTGGTGGTCTTCTGCCCGCGAAGGTGGGGGGGGGGGGGGAGGTGGAGGGGGGCTTCCCAAGGTCAGAGGTGGGGGGCCGCTCGACTCGGCGCGCCCAGCGCTGCCGCTCGCGCCCTCGGCCGAGGAGGCCCCGTCCCCTGTGTTGGTTGGGGGGCCTAAACCGCGTGGTGTCCTCGGCTCGAAAGGTGGCAAGGTGCGCGCGAGGTGAGGGGCTACGCACAGAGTCGACGGGCTCAAGTGCCCGGCAACTTAAAGGGTCTCTCGGTCGCGCTAAGACCTTGCTCCGCGCGGCGCACGAAGTGTCTTACGGTTCGCGGCGCTCCGAGCTGAATTTCTGAAAAGGGACGGACACAAATATTTGGGATTAACAACCCAGACGCGCACGCCAACGCACGCACGCGCGGACAACTGAGAGCGTGTGTGTCTCGTAATTTTTCTGAGTTCCCTTCGTCGCTTTGAAGGTTCCCGTTTCTTGTTTGGTATTCAACAGTTAAAGGTGCCCGTAATTTGCAACCGACCGATTTGCATTTCATTGGAGAACAATGGATTTGGGTAGCAGCGGTTGCATGGAAACGCTGAGGTGGAATCCGCGGACCGGATCGCGGAACGCGGCGTGGTGGGAATCCCAGCTCCGCCGGTCACCGCAGCGGTGAATTAAAAACGCTGAGGTGGAGTACGCGGACCGGATCGCGGAACGCAGCGTGGTGAGATCCCAACTCCGCCGCTCACCGCAGCGGTGAATGGAAATGCTGAGGTGGAAAACGCGGACCGGATCGCGGAACACGGCGTGGCGGGAATCCCAGCTTCGCCGGTCACCGCAGCGGTGAATGAAAAACGCTGAGGTGGAATACGCTGACCGGATCGCGGAACGCGGCGTGGTGAGATTCCAGCTCAGCCGGTCACCGCAGCGGTGAATGGAAAACGCTGAGGTGAAAAACGCGGACCGGATCGGCACGATCCCAGCTCCGCCGGTCGCCGCAATGGCCCGAGTCGCTGAGTTACGCGCGCAGAGCCTCAGTGTCAACGTTTTCATCGCCGCCGCTTCCGCGAAGTTTAACTCCGTTACAGCGACGAATCATTTTTCTGATTAAAACGAAACCACGGAACGTCCCGAGACTGGTAATGCCTGCACGCGGCAAAACGTGCCACCGTTGGTTGCTTGGCACGCGGTTGGATTGGTCCAACGCGCCGTGTTTACCGCCGGGACTGCGAGGGAAAACAAATGATGCTGTGGGGGGTTGGGACGGGGGGCCGGATGGGTGGGTGGGTGAGAGAAGGGCTGTGAAGCAACGGGGTGAATTGGGTAAAGTGGCGGGGAGCGGTAGCGTAGCGGTTAGCGCGCTTCGCTTCGGAACCCGGAAAAAACCGAGGTTCGATTCATCGCTCACGGCCAACATCAGTGACGATTGTCTGAACCGGTGCGCTGTGCCTCCCCATCGCTCGACTCAGCCTCAACCGAGTAGCTGGCGCGGTGTGCAATTATCGCCCCCTGGGGAGTGAAAGGCGGTGTGGCGTGGTGTGGTGTGGCGTGGTGTGGTGTGGCGTGGTGTGGTATGGCGTGGTTTCGGCCACACTGAACCCACGTGTGCCCTTCCGGCCATCGCGGGCGCTCGCTAACAGCGCTTGCCCCAACAACATTCTGATCGCTAACAGCGCTTGCCCCAACAGCGTTTGCCCCAACAGCGCTTGCCCCAACAACATTCTGATAGCTAACAGCGCTTGCCCCAACAGCGCTTGCCCCAACAACAACATTCTGATAGCTAACAGCGCTTGCCCCAACAACATTCTGATAGCTAACAGCGCTTGCCCCAACAACATTCTGATCGCTAACAGCGCTTGCCCCAACAACATTCTGATCGCTAACAGCGCTTGCCCCAACAACATTCTGATCGCTAACAGCGCTTGCCCCAACAGCGCTTGCCCCAACAACATTCTGATCGCTAACAGCGCTTGCCCCAACAACGCTTGCCCCAACAACATTCTGATCGCTAACAGCGCTTGCCCCAAAAACATTCTGATCTCTAACAGCGCTTGCCCCAACAGCGCTTGCCCCAAAAGCGCTCGTCCCAACAACATTCTGATAGCTAACAGCGGTTGCCCCAACAACATTCTGATCGCTAACAGCCCTTGCCCCAACAACATTCTGTTAGCTAACAGCGCTTGCCCCAACAACATTCTGATCGCTAACAGCCCTTGCCTCAACAACATTCCGATAGCTAACAGCCCTTACCCCAACAACATTCTGATAGCTAACAGCCCTTACCCCAACAACATTCTGATCGCTAACAGCGCTTGCCCCAACAACATTCTGATAGCTAACAGCCCTTACCCCAACACCATTCTGATAGCTACAGCGCTTGCCCCAACAACATTCTGATAGCTAACAGCGCTTGCCCCAACAACATTCTGATAGCTAACAGCGCTTGCCCCAACAACATTCTGATCGCTAACAGCCCTTGCCCCAACAACATTCTGATAGCTAACAGCGCTTGCCCCAACAACATTCTGATAGCTACAGCGCTTGCCCCAACAACATTCTGATAGCTAACAGCCCTTGCCCCAACAACATTCTTATCGCTAACAGCGCTTGCCCCAACAACATTCTGATAGCTAACAGCGCTTGCCCCAACAACATTCTGATAGCTAACAGCGCTTGCCCCAACAACATTCTGATCGCTAACAGCGCTTTCCCCAACAACATTCTGATAGCTAACAGCGCTTGCCCCAACAACATTCTGATCGCTAACAGCGCTTGCCCCAACAGCGCTTGCCCCAACAACATTCTGATCGCTAACAGCGCTTGCCCCAACAACATTCTGATAGCTAACAGCGCTTGCCCCACAACATTCTGAGCACGCTATCCGGGGGGGGTAGGGATCTTTGTGTTTTTTCTTTGGAGAGAAGTGGGTGCGGGGTGGATGGGCGGGGCAGTGAGGGGCGTTAGCGATGAAGGTGGGGGATGGGCGATGAAGGGGGGGGGGCGATGAAGGGGGGGGATCAAGGAGAGGGGGATCAATGAGGGGGGGATGAGGGGTGATGAAAGGGGGGGTGGGCGATGAAGGGGGGGGGGGGACGATGAAGGTGGGGGATGGGCGATGAAGGGGGGGTGAGGGGGGGATCAAGGAGGAGGGATCAGGGAGGGGGGATGGGCGATGAAGGGGGGGGGGGTGTAGGAGGGGGGATGTAGGTGGGGATGTTGGTGAAGGGATGGTGGGGGAGGGGCGTGGAGGCGCTGCAGGTGGAGGCCCGGGAGTGGTGCAGTCAGCAGAGAAGTGAAAGCGGACACGGGAGAGAGGCCGGGAGGGGAACAAAAACAAATAATTGGATAAAATTTATTGATACTGGAGCAATCCGACGAGCTACAAAGCTCTCCCCCGGGGGATGGCTCCGGGACTCAGCCGTCGCGCGCACCTCCGATTACCACGGTTGGCAACGTACGGTGCGAAGGAAGTTCATCAAACAGTTCACCATACCCTGTCAACCCATCCGGTTTACCCCGTATTCTTGTAACAGGGAAATTGAGTTTTCAGGTCCATGCGGCGTACAGCTGTTTCAATACGATGGTACTTTGTAGGATGAACGTTGTGATTTATAATGGCACGGGGTGGCCAAGAAGGTCTGAATGACTCTGCAGTATAAAGCTAGGCACTGACAATGTTGTAGTATAGAGCTAGACACTGACAAGGTTGTAGTATAAAGCTAGACACTGACAAGGTTGCAGTATAGAGCTAGACACTGACAAGGTTGTAGTATAAAGCTAGACACTGACAAGGTTGTAGTATAAAGCTAGACACTGACAAGGTCGTAGTATAGAGCTAGACACTGACATGGTTGTAGTATAAAGCTAGACACTGACAAGGTTGTAGTATAAAGCTAGACACTGACAAGGCTGTAGTATAAAGCTAGACACTGACAAGGCTGTAGTATAAAGCTAGACACCAACAAGGCTGTAGTATAAAGCTAGACACTGACAAGGTTGTAGTATAGAGCTAGACACTGACAAGGTTGTAGTATAGAGCTAGGCACTGACAAGGTTGTAGTATTGAGCTAGACAC